AATGAATTAATGATCTACTTAACAACTGCAGTGATTCATGTAACAACTGTGGCAAGAATGGTCATAAAATGGGGTAAAACTCAGTTTTAAAATTGTCTTGCTTAGCAACAGAAATTTTGGACTCAATGGTTAAGTCTACTCATTGTGTTTATTAAGTCTACTCATTGTTAAGTCTAATTGTGTTTCAGTGTTGAACCTGGAATGGAAAATCTGCCTCATTCATTTCTGTTCCATAGGTGAACTTGTGAACCTTCTGGAATACTTCATAGTTGTTGTTCTAGTTGCATTATGTACAAATCTCTGTGCAGCTGACCACACCTGCGCATCTGTCACCTGCATACCTGTGAGGCTTCCATGCACTTTATCTCCCCCCCCCCTTTGGCATATGTTGCCTTAGTTCATTGTGGAAGACGATCATTTTTGTTTCAAGCTAGATTCACTTTTCCCTTCAAAGAAAATAGATGCTTGTTTCTCATGTGTGTGGGTGTTTATTCATGTGGCTGCAGGGATTCTTGCCTGTTTAACGTTTTCTTAGCAGCGGGTTTTGCGTTTAGAAGAGGCCAGCACCCATAAAGGTTGCATATTCTTGGCTCTATATGGGCAAAGTATGGGTGACAGTCTGGATGAAACAACTCAATCAGGTCTGAAAAATGTTCAGACCGGGATATTGGTTAGGGCCCATCCTGCATAGGGAGGAGTGCATCTGCTTCCAAGCCTAAAACTGGAACAGTTGCTTCAATATCACTTGTACAAAATGTGGTTCTCAAAATGCTTTTTGAGGTCAGCCACTATTGAGATTTTTTTTTTTTTACTACCTTTCAGTTGGTTTCTAATTCCTTAATCTTCAAAGTCTTTTTCTTCCATTTTCTTTCCTTTTCATGCTTTGCACCAGCACACATTCAGGACTGCTGATCTATTCCAAAACTTCAAGGAGACAGCCTACCTTCCCCAGCCCAAATGCCTGGCATACAGGTAGTCAGTCCTCAACTTACGACCACAATTGAGCCCAAAGTTTTTATTGCTAATAAAAAGCCATTTTACCAATTTTGTAATCCAGTTGTTAAGTGAATCACTGCAGTTGTTAACTGAGTAACATGGTTGATCGGTAAACCTGGCTTCCCTGTTGACTTTGCTTATCAGAAGCTCCCAAAAGTTGATCATATGACTCTGGGACACTGCAACCATCATAAATATGAGCCAGTTGCCCAGTTCCTAATTTTGATTACGTGACCATGGGGATGCTGCAATGGTTGTAAATGTGAAAAAAGGTCATAAGTCATTTTTTTTCAGTGTTGTAACTTTGAATGGTCACTAAACGAATGGCTGTAAGTCAAGTACTACATGTCTAGAAAAGCATCTCCTTTAGTTCATTATGATTTTGTGACAATTTCTCCTCTATAATGCGTCGGTGACAGAGGTATAGACAAAGTTAATTTTTCTTTTCTTTTTTTCTACTTAAATGCTTTTGCTGGCCTCTTGTTATTATGTGAAGCTTAAAAAACATAGTTTTTTAAAATAAAAAATTCAAATGAAATCCCTCTTGCTTACTGCATACAGATGCCTTGTCGTCTCCCTTGCATTTAATGGAGTGTCACTTCTCAATGGAAAAGGAAGTTTTAAAAAATACTATACTTCCCCCCCCCCCCCAAAAAAAAAATACTTTGGAGAGGAAGATTATTAAACCTTGCTTGAAAATAGCTTGAAAACAGTTCTAAAAGATCATAGTAGCGGTGTCCTTTACAGATAAATAATATGCAAAGGAGTTTTGTGATGGTAATATGTCTCTATGCTTGTCGGCGTAGTAATTGTTTGATTTGTCAGAAGAGTTTCTGATCAGTTAGCAGGGCCTTTGATGATTATTGAATGGGCTGTTTTGATCTCAGGATTCTGCTTGCCATTGGTTGAACGGCTATTAAACGGCACAAGGATCGTGGGCAGTACAAGGTCCTAAGCAAGACAAAATACAGAGGAAAATAAAGCTATGCAAAGAAGATTGAAATTGATTCAGAAAGTAAATTAAATACTAAGAGGGAGGGAAAAGAAATTAAGAGTGAAGAAATGGAGAGGGAAAAATGGCAGTTTCATGGCAAAGTTCAAAAGCATGTGAAGTAGGTTAATGTTAGGTTAATGTTCCTATTTTAAGTTGAATCTCTTGCTTGGAAAGCTCTAGTCATGTTAAATAGACTTACTTAGATTTCTGACCAAGGCCAAGAAAATAGCAAAGGCATTCTGAAAAGCAAAAGGTGGAAATCTTGATCATAGCAAAGATCACTGGATTTCCAGCTGTAAGTACATTGAAATAAAGCTAAGCATTGGGACTTTATTGATTTGCACATGTTGGCTTTGCAATTAATGGGATTGATGCATGGAACAAGCCAAATCAAATTGATTTTTCACAGAGGACAACATATATATATGCATGGAGGAGAATGGCATATGCTTCCAGAGTTCTGGTTTTTGTTTTGCTGCAGTTGTTCCTTCTGCTTTTCAAACAGAGAAGTAACTTACCTCATCTGTGATGGGGATGGCAAACACAAAAAATATAAAGTAAAATTCTAGCTGTTAATATGCAATTCCCTTCTGCCTATTCATAATGCCTCTTCAAATGGTTCCTAATAAAGCTTGCATCCTGTAGAGGTGTGCATTTGCTTGTTTTTCCTTCTTTGTACTTTAGGTAGAAAATGCAATTTAAACTCCAGTCCAAATAGGAAAGCTAATTTTATTTGGCATCTCCAGTGTATCGGTTTTATTAACCAGGAAGCCCACTCTCCCAAAGTATAAAATCCCAAATGCCTAGCTTTAATTCCTGATATAATTAAAAGCTTAAACTCAACAGTCTAGCAGCCTAATTCATTTTCAGTTTTTGAAATTTCTTTTAAAATAAGGAAGTATGATCGCTCTGTGATAGTGTGCATAGTTTGCATAATTGGAGAACTCTCAGGGTTTATGTGTGGCACTCAGGTTAAAAGCTTTAAGGAGTGCGTAATGGAAAGGTCCTCTGACTTGAGACCTATGCAGATCCCCTGCCAGTACAAAAATGATTCTAGATCCATTAGAGCAAGATTCGGATTCCTGTGTTTTAAAAGGGAATAGCCTAATTAATCCATAATAGCAATCTGGGCAGATCTGTAACTCCTCATGCCCCATATTGTATTCTTTTGTCTTATTTTATTTTTATAATTCTCATCTATCTTTCCAAACCAGAACCAGAATGGTATACTGAACAAGCAATAAAAGCAATCTTTAATTTAAACAAGGTTAGATAAAACAGTATCATAAAGCAAAACAATCAGAATACAGCAATTAAAACAAAATTAATTTAGAAAGGTAGCATGCTCCTAGAGCTATTCTTACTTGCAAACGCATGTACGAACAAGCGATTAAAACAATATTTTAAATTTGCTTTGGATTAAATCTGTACTTTGCTTTCCCTCCAAGGAGCTCTGGAACATGTAGAACATGTAAGGTTATGTTAGCCTCGGAAAGTAGAGTTGATTGTAGTGATTAATATAAAGCCGGTTACAATAGAATTTATAATAGATCTGCTCATCTAAGAACATATCTGCTCCTATCCTGTGCTGATGCTGTTTTATTCTCAGGTAGCATAAGGAAATTCTTGTCTGAACTGAGATGCTTTGGCAGCCTTATTAAAAAAAAAATCAGTCCAGACTACAAGCTGCTATGGCCATTAGACAATTCCCCTGCTGTTGTGTGCCCTCTTTACTTTCCATGCCAGGAAAAACAATTGTCAAGATTTTTTTCTTTTCTCCCCCCCCCTTTTGCATGCAAACGCACATATACATATGTGTATGTTTGTAGTATGTATACGAACTTGAATTTATATATACAGTTAAAGCATCAAAGCACACATATCACGAAGCATGCAACCAAGTTTAAAGTAAAAAAAAATCCTTTCTTGTATTTTTCCAGCTTTTCCTCCTGGGAGCTGCGGATGAAATGTTTCTACTTCAAGTAACTAGAGAATTAATAAAATAGTGCCCAACTGTATTTACTAAAATAGTAATAAAACAAAGGCCCAGAGGAAAAGTAAGTAACTCAAGGAAAGAAAAATGATATTTTTAAAAGTTCTGCTGGGTTTCGAATTGACAATATTCTGCCCGTGAAGCCCAGTCTTATAGGGGTACGGCTCAGTTAATCACAGTAATTGGGACCAGAATTTCCATCACTATGAAACACAGCTGTAAATTGTGATATCACGTGAACACATTTGTAGCGATAGAAATTCTGGCACTTCTGTTTGCTGTTGTGTAGGCGAAATAAATAGATTTGGAACACTGGTTTGAAACTATGCAAGGTGATAGAGAAAACAGAAGAATAAAACGATTTCAGTGCTGCTGGTATTGCTACAGATTCTGTGGAGTGTGTGGAGAAAATAGGCTTAAGCACAGGAAATAGAAA